GATGCTAATAGCTTTAACCACTTTGGTTACCATGGAAACTACACAGCATGACAGGCACGTTGTTAAAACCAGTTAGCAGTTTGATCTGAGTTAGCTAAAGATAGCCGGCATTCATGTCTCGCCTCTCTATGTGTGTCTGTAGTCAAAAACAGGCAGCCAATCAGATCACCGCTTCACCAGCTTTCCTAGCCATTCAGCTCTCCGATTCGTCAGCCCTCCCACCATGACTCATGAAGGACAGGAAGAGGAGGGACGGGAGGTGGAGGAGGTAGGATCAGGAGGCCCTTTTGCGCCTCCTAACTCCCCCCTCCAGAGATCCCTCCCCCGACTTAGGAAACCCCTTCCCCCATTCAGCCCTTATCCTCCCGCTCCTCTTCCTCAGCATCCTCCTCCTCCTCCTCCTCCTTCTTCTCCTCATCCTCCACATCATCCCATGCCAAGCCTTGCTCTTCCTCATGCTCCTCATCCTCAGGAATCTGTGGTGCAGCATCAGGGCCTGCAGAGCTTCGGGAGGTGAGAACTAAAGTGCATTTCTGCTACTGCTGCCCACCGTTCACCTTCACTTCACATATTCAAGCAGTGAATTATGTGATGTCTGCTGCTGCCTCCACTGTCCCAATCTTTCACCTCACTTCTTAGTTTCCCTCCATTCTGTCCTCACCCTCAACCGAGGTGAGGTTTATATTTGATCAGCACTTATGGACCAGCTGTTACTCCTATTTTTTTTTCTTTTGTTCTGACAATGTCCAGAGATGAAATATGAGAGACAACTTTTTTTTCTTTCTGTTCTCTACTTTTTATCATTTTAATTTAGGCCCGAGCTAATACCGAGTGCAGCATTGATCTTTTCATTTCACGGAACACTGCGTCCTCGCTCCATTACATCGGGGTCAACACCCAAAAATAATGAACATGTAATCTCTTTTTGATGCATTATGCACATTAACATCACATTTTTCATTTTCTCAATGTGGCGCAATCGAAGACAGAATCATCTTTGAAATGCACTGTAAATCCTCGCTGTAATGCC